TCAGTGTGGCAGGGTTCATATAAACTCGTACATTACAAAAAATCCCACGGCCGGAACGCTTCCGCGGCCGCCTCTGTGTGGCCTGAGCATAAGAGACCCAAGGGCTAGTAGCTCCCTCGTCCATCGCATTAACATTGCTGTATAAAAGGGGAATGCTGTCAGCATCTTGGACACTCAATGCCACAGTGACCTAATTTTGTACATTTAACTTACCTATATTTAGTAAGTTATTATCTGTTATTAATAAGTTTTTATCTATATTTTTAAGTAATTATAACTCCAATAAAAACGACATGCCACTCCATTGCCATTTTTAACGACGACGTTATTATTATACAAATAAAAAGGGTGGGCAAAAGTCAATATCTCATGTTGTGTTATATTTACACTTTTTGTCAAGTAAGTTACTTCCATGACTCTTCTTCCGCCTTGAATTCCCAAGGATCATCATCAATGAATCTCGCATTAAAAGTGAACGCTTACAAAATATTTACCCATCGATCAAATCTTTTGTCGGTCCGTCCTCGACCCGGAAACGGGCCCGGATGTGTCGGTTTTTTCTTTCGCTCTGATAAAAACGAGTTGGTAATCAAAGGGCGTGTTTTTCTAACCACCTGTGTCCATGGGAATGTTCGTATGAGGAGCAAAAAACGCTACAGATTTTGAAGAGGTTTTACAAAAAAGCAATCGTATTCCTTTTTGTAATTTGTTACAAAAATGTCACACAACTTTTTAAATAAACGGGATTAACTTAGTCGTAATTGAAAGAGCAACTGAACGACGAATTCAAGATATAGGGCAGCAGCGTTTTCCTGTGCATGTTACTCGCAGCTTCAACGGGATCACCACCTGTCAAGTTCCTTTTTAGGCTAAGATTTAAGCCTTGCCTATTTGTACCGCCAAGCAGTAATGTCAGCATTACTGTGTTCCGGTTTTGAAGAGTACAGGTGCTGGTGAAATTACAGGCACGTAGGACTTGTCAACTTATGTCTCAGGGTGACGGGCGCAGTAGCAGTGCCCCTCAGATCTTTATGATTTAAAGCTCTGAGTGGCACTGCAACTGTTATGGACAGGCGTGTAGATTACCATCAAGCGCACGATTAGTTCGTCCCGTCACTTGATATTATAAAAAAGTAAAATATACAGAGTATTAACATACTAGACAATAAACGACTTTGTTCTATGATTTTTTAGGTAGTTCAAACGTGCAAGCGTCCTCTCTGCACCCCCGCTCTTGCATTTTACATCGGACTGGATGGAATTTACGCTAGCGCCTTCCTTTGTTACCACACAGAGTTATCACAATATTGTCTATTTAAATAGTTTTATTTTTGTAGGAAAATAAAATATGATGAATTCTTAGACATGGAACGACATTTGTTATTTATGATGTTAGTATAAGTTCCGTTTGCGAGTTTATTGGTATTTTACAAACAAGTATGAATAGTGTGACATGTTTTTCGGGTTACGTATTTATTAAATTACCGATTTGTTTATTCGTGTTGTCTTAAATATGGTAATAACAGTTAATCAACGACTTACTCGTATTAACTAAAAAGGTAAACTATACTTAAAAATATTATACTAAAAATAAAAATAATGACTTCGTCATACATTACTTATTCCTTCCAATACCATTAAAATTATGTCAGCAAATACCACAATAAAATGTTCACACCCGAGATAGTTCTCAACGAGACCGACGGTCTATCACTTTTTACATCATAAATTACATCCCTTGAGGAAGGAAGCTGGCCCGTTATAATAAAAACACTCCATTCACACGACCATGCATTCAAATATTGTATCTTTTTTTGTTTGAAACTACTTTTATGGAAACATTTTTTTGATGTTTCTGTTTTTTGAGTGATTTCGAAATTAAATTCCTCGAAGAAAGTGTGATATTTCCCTTTCGTGTGGTTACTATTTACTATAGTGGTTATCTCTGCACGGTGGTGTTTTTTAAAAAGCTATTTACTATCATATCATAATTAGACAGGTATTAAGGTATCTGACATCGGATTATTACCAATCTGATTTGAATAATAATAACCGCTTATCCACTTATTTCAAATTCGATTAGTATAAACTTCCTATAGTTCATTCGTTTACGTGCTAAATGTAAACATCTTTTTTACTTTACAAATCAATGTGTATAAAAATTCATATGAAGCTAAGTATTTGTATTTTGTATTTGAAGGTAAGTAAAAATATTTTATTCAAATATATATTTCATTAAATATACATCTCAAGGTTGTTTACATTTAGTTAAGTACCTAAATAAATGGACTACAAGCAGGATCGTTAATAATCTGCAGAATGAAGAATCGCGCAAAGACATAACCTATGATAATAATTCGTAAAAAGATTTGTACAGAAATAAACAAAATATCAAAAATTGTACGTAAAATTAAGTAAGTTCAGTTGTACGAGTTGACTGTATATAAATTACAAAGCATAATAAGCGTTCATACTAAACAGGAGCCAGGTTTAAATTAATAAAGAAGAAATTGTTTTGTAAAATACAAAGTATGTGCACAAAATGTGCGCATGCGCGGCGCATGTGAATTGTGTGGCTGTGTGTGTGTGTGTGAAATGGACAGTAGCTTATTCCTATAATTTCCAGTCAAGCATAGTGGCGGTTTTTCTTTTATTAATAAGTATTGCCAGAAATGACCATGAGAAAATAATTGCGTGTATATCCCGATAATATTTTAAATTCCTAAACACCCCATGCCGTATAAGGTTCCCACACAATGTCAACATGAGATCATTACATTAACCTCATCATCACGCGAACTACCGTCACACATCGATGGACAAAATAAAATTGCACTTATGGCTTTCCCATCGCAGTACTTATTTTCAACTTTATTGTTAGACAACATAAAGGCCGACAAAAGTTTTTGTAGAGTCCGCTTTACCATGCAAGTGAAGGTCCTAGTAAAATTACATAATTTTTATAATATAGCTAATTTCTTAAAAAAGTTGTACGATTGTCAACTTTATAACAGTGATATAGAGTAGTAGTATTTTAATTGAACAGCAAAATTATATTTGTTTCTACGGCATCCTGACCCACTTAACTTTGCCTCTACATAAACGTTACCCCTAGAACATTACGAGTCATTTTTGTTACAATTACTATGATTATATGTTGGTAATTTCATACGAGGATCGTGGGAGAAAGGTGAGTAATTAGATATTTATTAACAGGAGTGCAGAGCGCCCTTCCTCTATTAGAAAGGTCAGATGGACACCTGGCAAGTCGTTGACTGGAGCTAGCCTCAAGCTTTATTTACACATGCTTTTCGATAGTTGATAGAAGGGTGTTAAGACGAGGGACAAATTTATCACTAAATACTAGATTAAATTAGGCGCTCGCAATTTTGTAGCTGTCTGGCGCTATATATGTTGTTTTAAATTTAAAAGTTCAAATTTGTTGTTTTTCGTTTTATTTTGAAATTTTACGATGAGTATATAAATATTCAATAGAGACCAAACGAGTTAAAATTCTAAATTAAAATTGACATTTTTTTGTTTTAACTTTATACTATTACAGGTCCATAAAGACAGAAAAAGAAAATATTTAAATTGAAAATTCAGCGTAGAGTATGTCTGTATACCAGATGTTAGTAATCCTTATAAATATTTCAAATATCTGTAAAAGAATTACAGTTATTTGAAATATTTATTAGAAAGATTTATGTGAGAATACTTATTTTTTATGCCTACTTAGATGTATTTTATTTATAATCCTAATACTTACTGTTAAATAAATTCAATCTATTATAATTACATCCCTTATTACGCCAAACAGAAACTTCAAGTGTATGTCAAACAGAACTGTTACACGCAAACCCTTGCAGTCCTTGCACCTTTGCGCATTCCCACACAGCGTGAGAACCTAACAACACCCCATGCACATCAAAAACCAAGTTTAAACTTCGCCGTGTCACACACAATAACAAAACAAAAAATCCCTTACCTTTCTAGACGCCCCTTTACGCTACGATGCACGTATAAAGTTCCACATTTAAACGACAAGGTGTTCATTCAAATAAATATCGTGCTTCATGGAAAGGTGCGAATTCATAAAGTATGCCGTTTTTCATAAAGAGGGTGGGAGGAAAGGTTTTATGGTTCTTGATGGGCATGCGCGGTCCTGCATTCCCATAGTATACAGGATAGGGGAACGCCGGATGTAGCTTCACTTTGTGACTTTTAAAATTTAACAGTCAAATTATGTAATCAGTTTCATTTTTTTATGATACCATGTAATCAGTTACATTTTTTTATGATGGGACGAATAGTTCGTGGTGGTAAGTGACACGCCCTGCCCATAGCTGTTGCAGTGCCACACAAGAGCTTTAAATCGCAAAGAACTGAGGGGCACTGCCACTGCGCCGGACATCCTGAGTTGAAAACTCCCATGTGCTTGTAATTTCATCAGCACCCTTACCCTTCAAAACCGGAACGCAGCCATGCTCACATTATTGCTTGGTGGTAGAAATAGGTAAGGTGGCAGTACTTCCCTGGACAAACTCTTTCACAAGGACGTCTACTGCTACCGAAAACTAAGCGCCGTACTGAATAAAGAAACATTTACGCCATTCACATATTACCCAAGTAGGTTTAGTATTCTCTAGTGTCAAACATATTAATAATCATATTCAATACATGAACAGTAAAATACTTTTCGTAATCAGTAAAAAAAATGTTAATGACATCTAAAATCGAACCCACAGCCCCCACCTACTACTAACCACTGAACCAGTAGCACAATTAACAGCAGGTTCCCGTAGAGCGAGAAGGGACGAAAACAAAACATTCCGATACAGTTCCCACTATTCGCAACACCTATGCAAGAGCGAGATAGCTATATTTTATCACCGCTTTTTATAAACAGGATGAATGGGGAGCATAGGTAATTTAAAATTTGCTGTTACGGGAGCATAGTACGTCCGACATTAGTTAGTTAATCGTCGTCGCGGACGAACGTGCGGGCAGGTAAAGAGAAGTGAAGTGCTGTGAATATGCCGTATAGTGAAGATGATGATTCCCAAACTGGGATATCGGAACCTACGCAAGGAATGTCAAAGGCTGAATTGCGGAAGGTAAATAATAAAGTGCAGATTTCGTGGCATAAAAAAATTACTTATTTTCGTTCTAGTAGGGTATCTAGCTACTTTAAAAAGGTTGTAGAATAACGCATATTGCATAATTTTACCTAGTGTTGTACTATTTCCTTAAGGAGACCCGCGTCCAGTAGTGAAACGTTTTAACTGTGATGCAATACAATAATGAATAACGTGTACCACAGACAACCATACAAATTATCTGGTCTCAAACCAGGGAATTCCCTGTAGTACCAGAGCAACGGAATTCGCTTTGGGACACTTCCCGGAACATCCAGACCAGAACCAAAGAAAAGTTAGTTTCCTAAATTGATCCTGACGGGAATCGAACCCGAGACCTCCTCATCCAGTGCCCACTGACCAAACCGTTGGGCCACCGAAGTCGTCAATTTTTTTAGTCTTCAATGGAAAACAAGTATGTAAATAAATAAATAATGTGCCTCTGTAAATTGATTAATGTTAAAATTCGCGAAATTTCAGACCAATAAACCGATAATGGAGAAGAAGCGGCGCGCGCGCATTAACAATTGCCTCAATGAACTCAAGGACCTGCTTGTGGATGCTATGGATAAAGATGTACGTTTTGCTGCACATGCAACTTTGTTTAGCATTAACTTTTAAAATTTTAAATTGTTTTAAATAATTATTATCATATTGGCTGAAGACCCACGTTGGGCACCATTCAAAACATCTAATATGACAAATTGATGTCAATATCTTGTGATACGAGAGAAATAAAATACTTTACATAAAAGACTTACAAGATACCAATAAGAAAATAAGCATTACTTTCTGTTCATTCTTATTCTATTCCAGCCCGCCCGTCACTCAAAATTAGAAAAAGCAGATATCCTCGAGCTTACCGTGAAGCACCTCCAAACCCTTCAAAGGAAACAATTAGCAGCCGCCATTGCTGCAGACCCAGCAGTACTGCACCGCTTTAAATCCGGCTTCGGGGACTGCGCCGTCGAAGTTAAGAGATACCTTTCCCGTCTCGCCAGCGTACCAACAGGCTTACGTCATCGACTTGGCAGCCACTTGCACAGCTGCTTAAATGGAATGGAATGTTTGAACCCTGCGGATTATCCACCACTAATCCCAGATCCTTTAAGACTGGACGACGATAGACAAAGGCATAGTGCCTTCCACTACGTAAGATCCACCAAACCAACAAGTCCACCATTAAGTCCTATGTCTTGTGACTCTGCTTGTGACTCTTCTACAGAGATGGAAACACCACCTCGTCCCGTCCAGACTTTCCCCTTCCCAACCCCACCAAGCAGATCTGCCTCTGATCAAGACTCAAGCCCGGAAACGCAAAAACCTACAGTTTCGTCAACAACAATATCCCCTGAAACGCTGAAACAAGAAGCTTTGAGAAACAAAATGTATATGGAACCGTTATCGATTGTTATAGACGTCGAAAACTACAAAATAGGTATTGATGCTTCACCAAAAAGGGCTGTGGATTATTCAATGAGGAATAAGCTTAAAAGGCCAGTTGTTGACGTATCAGGGCCGACACCAAAAGTGATCAAACTTGAAGAGAAGCCAGTAAAATTTCCAAAGATTGAAAAAGTTCATGAAAAACGAAAAAGTCCAGAGAAATCGGCTTTTAAGCGAGTTCCCGAACGAGTACCAGCGTATCCGGAAAGAAAATTAACCCTTCCGGAAAGTATTGTGACACCTGCACCTTATGAAAGAACAATTCCTGTTATAAGATCTGTGATAAGTCATACAGCGGAATCCCTGGCGCAACCTTCGACTGTTAAAGTAGAGGTCAGTGTGAAAGAAGAAGTCAAAGAAAAGGGCGAAGCAGATACTAGTTCAAGGTCATCCGAACAGGGGAGTTCGAATAACTCCGAGATGTGGCGACCTTGGTGATGATTTAATAACATTGACACCATTCGGTATTCTATAGATGGGTTGTTTGTTTACATAGTGTTATATACCTACGAGTATATAAACTACACGTGATATACTATGACAATGTACGTGATGTACATAGCTTTAAGAATGTACCAGTTTGGTATAAAAGTTTTTGATTTAATTATATTATAATAAATATACAAATTAGTTATTAAAGAGTTACATTTGATTTTTCTTGGAGCGTATTTATTTTTTCAAAGTCTAAGTCAAATGATCTTCATTTCATAGGTAAGCAAAGTACACTTGAAATCGTCATACTGATTAAACTCTACAGCTCATTCGTAAGACAGATTTTCTTGAGAAGAATGAGCATTTGAATACATTTATCATTACAATATTTAATTTAAACATCTTAGGGTCGCATTCTAGAACTCTACTCAATGCTCAAGTTAGGATTTGAGTATGGTTTAAAGCACTTGATATCATACTCAAGTCCCTGCCATTAGGGTCGTATTTCCAGTGCTTGTGTTGCCAGTGCAATCCAGACTTGAGCATTGAATAGAGTTCTAGAATACGACCGTTAGTTTCGTACAGCAACCTATATTTTTTTCTATAACTTATTTCATATTCTCTATACTAAAGGATTAAAGAATCAAAATCAAGTATTTGAAAAATTAAAGCATATTTATTGGCAAGCACATCACATTGACAACAAAAACAAACCTGACACTCGAATAAAGAGTGAATAAGAAAGCCCAAATATACCGACTAGGAATCCACATTGTAGCTGGCAATTGTGCTAGTTATTGAACTAGCATGCAATAATATGCCAGCTATACATTGACTTACGTCAATGCAGCTATAAGCAATTATGGCACAATGAGTTTGCCAATCAAAATCGTTTGCAGTTTTATTTGTTATCAGAAATGGTGACCCTGGTAAGTTTGATATCAAGGTTCATGTAACATTATTTTTCTCAAACATGCTCGGAAATGTTTGCGTTACTTTCAAAAAACGAACACGGAAAGTTTGTCATTTATGGACTATGTGACTTCTTCCCGGTCAAGGCCAGAAAAGTAAGTTTGAAAATCCATTACTGTCCTCTTCTCTAAACTTTTAAATGTACCTACTAATAACGAACTATGCAAACAGGCAAAAGAAAAACTCACAAAGCCAACTGCCCAGTGTTTATTTATAACTGCGAGAATTAAAAATACCTATCTGTACTGCTTACTTAAAAAAAAGAAAATGGCGGTAACACATAAAGTGTTTTGATATTGTATTGTTTTTTCGTCTTTTTATTTTTGGTGGCGAAAATGAGTGCCAGTGAGGAAAGCGATAACAAAAGTACAGTAATAAGATACATCCACCTCTCTTTAGTATTTTATTATTTCCTCGCATTGTTTGAGAAAAATTCTATACATGCCTCGGTGGGAACGGGCATTGCTTGACTCGGGTTACCTATCAGTTGTCCGAAATGACATTTCCCAGAAATAGCGTTTGGTCGAAATTTTATAACCTCGAAAGTAATTTTGAGAGGAAAATGTTTTTCTTTTAAACCTAACCTAACCGAACCTAATCGTGTCTTTGCGATAAACATTCAACATATCCTGAAAGAACAACTGTTTCGTTATAATTCGATTTTCGGTGTAATGAAAATTCGAACAAACGTTATTTCGGAGAAAAAAATTTTCGACTTTGTGATAGGTTACCCTTGACTCGTATTAATTACAAGGCTTTGCTGGCGCTCGTCCTTGTAACTCTTGCTCGTCCAGCAATCCCTTACTTCCCGGCCTTTGCAATTAAGTATTTTTGTGAAATTATTCAACTAATTTGTTATAGTTAATACAAAGATCGAACAGAAAGAAAAATTCCTTCTATCCGGCTGGACTCGAACCAACGATCTTACCTTACCATGGTTGAATTTCTGCCTTTTTTTTCTTTGGTCATTCAAAGGTTCATATTGTCAGTAAAAATTACTGTTGGCCTTGATTACATACAACTTATTATCCTGCACTACGCATAACGCAAAATATATATATATAGGTATTCAGATATCACTAAAAGGGAAGAGATTCCGTGGCGATATAATTGGGCATACCCTAAATCTAGCGCCACAGCTATCGAAATTAAGCAACGTAATTTCAGCGCTTACCATTTCTTCCCAACAAAGATTAGCGAGTCTGCTATTTCTATGGCAGTTGTTCTCTAGAAACTTTACAACAACGTTGATCATTGAAAGCAATTGGACGGTGACTAAATTACGTGGCAGATTTTTGGTAAATGTGGCACTGGACTAATTATTATCTAAGTGTAATAAATAACGTGGATCTAATACGCATACATAAATAGTCATAATGTGATTGGACGAAGTATAATTTGTTAGGCACATATCGTTTAGCACGAAAGGACATAACTTACAGCTTTGACGGAAAAATATTATTTACATTTAATTTAATGTTCTATGTTGTACTGTAAATAATTCATTTTTGTCCATGGTAACTTACGTACCTTATAATCGGATTTTTAGAGATAGCAAACAGCTACTAATGTTAGTTCGGAAAATAATGATGCCATGGTTTTTGTAATGTATTTAGATTCAGTTCTTAATTAACTCACTAAAATAGATTCCGTCAAAAAGAAATGATTATTTATTATTGTACAATAATGTGCAAAAATGGCAGTACCAGGTGGCACTCTCAGGGTTGTGGCAGGCAATCGAATTCCGGTATGAATAAAAAAGGGCGAGTTCAATGTGGTACCAAGCCGCTCTGAGATCAAATCCAATTGGACAACCTTAATTAAGAAATTGCCATTTAATCAGGTTTCCTTATTTTAAATTCTAGTAATAGGATATTCGACACATTACGAAAATAAAATCGAATGCTTTTCATTAGCATTAAAAATAAATCGATAGTGAAATATGACATTATAACTGAAATTGATGGATAAATAGTAATAGACATTCTGAAAACAGGATTTAGAAAGAACTGGCAATACTTTTTTGTGACGTCATACATTCATGGCGCCAAACCAGCTGTATAAATTACAATTGTACCTAAAAAGGGACGGATGACTTTTTTAAAGTAAAAAAAAAATTACAGTTAACCTTTGGTGCTGGTAGAATACAAGTATCGTAATTTTTAAAAAGCTTACGAATTTACAAGGTATAATATACAAGATGCTAACAAATTAGGTACTTTTCAAGATGCTTTTTATAGTCAATTATAATAGCCAAATAAGAATAAGTGGTTTTAATATCAACTTTTCGAGAAATTTAAAAAACTAGTTAATCAAAATCTGTTTAACTTGTTTTTAAACTGTTAACTTTTACTAGCCACTTCATGATTAAAATTAAAAAGAATAGTTATGGATACAAAGATCGAACACACAGAAAAAATTTTTCGATCTGACTAGACTAGAACCTGCTTCCGTAGCCGCGGTGAGGCAACAGATTCTGGTTCGAGTTGAGATCCCTTTTTGTTTGTTCGATCTTTTTAAACAAACTAATGTAGTATTTTTACAAAAAAAATAATATGATGCAAAACATTATGATATTCAATATAATAAATAACGTAACAGAATGTCAACAGGCGGCGACGTCAAACTTCTTGACAGTAAAATACTCATATTTGGACAGTTCTTTGTTAAAATGATTAAAATCGCATAAAAATATTTTTGATTTGTATAACGATTTGATCCGTCTTTTAAATCGAACCGTACCTAATTTGTTACCACCTTGTATAGTATAACGACGTAATGAAAAGAATAAATTGAAAATATTATTAATACTTATTAATATTATCGTATTCAATAAAATCAATACTAAAATTGTAAATATTGTTGTAAATGTTAATTGACATTGAAATATACTGGCGAATTTCTTGGCTAATGACATTAGACCAAAGCCTTAGCTTACAAAAATCGAATGCATACCAGCTCTACGTCCGCTGGTATAGCGCACACATCGAACATTGGTACAAATACAACCACTAGAATATGTCAGACTACTTATGTTTAAGAAAATCTTTCCTCTGTTGTTGGAGCTTCTGTTCCAGCAGTACGATCTTTTCCTGGTACTTGGCAGCTTCTCTGGTCAGTGCCTGAATGGCAGAGTCCTTGCGAGCCACTGCCACTTTCACCCTGAAAAATATCATTCACATCAATTAGACATATCGTTCCTTAATACAGTAATAAGGGTGCCAGACAATCACACCAATCACATGGAATGTGTGATAAACCTCCCCGTGACATATTTATTTCAGTTGATAAAGCTTTGTTGCCATTTTTATTTTTTTATTGCGAATACTGAATCGGTAATATGCCGTATGTCATTCGTTCTTTTGTTTGATTGGTTATGTACTGTTGTTATACATTTTGAAGAACAAGGATAACGATATGAAATTGCGTATACAGTATCTGTGTCGTTTGATTATTACCGCGAAAACGACGAAACAAGAAAACTAGGATATTTTCCATACCGTGAGCACCAAGGCAACGGAACTAACGGATTACGGAAATTACCAAAAAAACCCAGGCCAGACCCAATTTAATACAGTTTGTTTCCCAAATTGCTATTGAACATGGGACCTACTAATCTGGCGCCCACAGGGCTAACCGTCAAGCCACAGAGGTCGTGAAATGAAAGTAAAGGACGTAAATTACAATGTTCTTGAATACAAATTATATACAGGTGATTGCAAGGTTGTTATCATTTCTAAAATGCTTAAAAATAATATAGCGGTGTTATTTGTATAGTCAAGACCACATCAAGCTTGACGCTTTGGACTTTAGATTGTTCTTATCGCAAATGGCATACAGTGTGTGTGTGTGTGTGTGTGTGTGTGTGTGTGTGTGTG